CTTTAAAGTACATGAGTTTTGTGCTTAATATGCGTGAGTCTGATCTTGTGCTTAATGTGCGTGAGTTTTGTATTTAATGTGCGTGAGGGTTGTGCTTAAGATGTGTGAGTTTTGTGTTTAAGGTGCATGAGTTTATGTTCTGAATGTATTTTGTTTGTGTGTTTAATGTGCGTCTGTTGTATACTTAAAGTGTGCCAGTGTAATGCTTAATGTGCATGAATCCACCTACACAACCGCACGGGAAGCACCACCAGCACCTGATCCCTTCCCTATATATATATATATATATATATATATATATATATATATATATATATATATATATATATATATATAGTGCCTTTTAAAATAGTTATATTATGAGTACAATTCAATATAATATTGACTTCATTCAATATATATGTTATATACATGTATTTTGTTCTTAAGTACGTCATAATATATAAGAAAACAAGTTATTATTCATAGATTCAATTAAATTTTGCCTGTAATTAATTTAGTAATAACTAATCATAATATATAATAAAACTCTCTTATATCTTGGCAATGTATAACTTAGGCAAAGAGGAAGTTACATGAGCAAGAAGTTATTAGTTTAAATATCATTGGGAGTATTTAAAGCATGATATGCAGTTTAGGCTGACATGTACTGAGGGGATTGTTGGGAAGAAATATTTTGGCCCTGTTTGGTAAAAATTTGGCCTATAGGTCAATTTTGGCTTATTTGACCACTATTAATTGTTTAATTTAGTTAAAATGTCAATATAAATGTTTGGCTAATTAGCTTTTTGCAACTCCAAAAGGCTAAAATTCAAAAAGTTACTCCAAGCAACTTTTTCAATTAACTTTTTGAGAAAAGAAATTATACCAAACAACTATTAACTAACAGCTAATTTACCAAACACTTTCTACAATCAGCTAATGTTATCAACTATTTATACCCTCTAATTAACACAATCAGCTAACAACTAACAACTAACAACTATCAGCTAACAACCATTTTACCAAACAGGGCCTTTGTCATCAAAATGTGGAGTTGACTATTATGCAAGTATAAGGAAATAAAGATGTACATTCACCATTAGCTATAGTGTTTAACATAGTGGTAAACACTCGATTCGGGTTAAAAAAAAAAATTTACTCCATCTGTCTCATTTTATCTGTCCTACTTACTATTCATTGGTCAAACTAACTTTTTCTTCTTTGTTTATTTTCTTTAGTATTTTTTACTTATTTTTAAATTTGATCTTTTGTGTTTAATAGTACTTTTAGTGTAGTTTCTAAAATATATAAATTTTGTATACTAATACTGAACTTAATATTATGAAAAATTGATTTAAAAATACCTTCTGTTAAACCTCGTTAATCGAATCAGACATATAAAATGGGATGGAGGGAGTATTATATAAGAGTTAGCATGATTGTACAATAATAATGTCATTTACTAAAGCATGCACTTTGGGTGCTAGCTGGTCGAATCATATTAAGGAATCACTAATAGGTTTCTTAGCTAGCTATCTTGCTTGTCTCTTGATGGAATTGAGATTGATGACCTTCCGGAGTATAACCACCACTAATAATTGTCCAATCCATCCAAAAGGTGTATTCTTGATATTAACATGCAACTTTAAAAAAGAAAAAAAAAAAAAACTTTATTTTGTACATTCATGGGAGAAAATTAAACAAGACAAGATAATAGAACTTAATAGATCTTGGTGTCCAAGCTACTTAAATGGTATATATATATATATATATATATATATATATATATATATATATAGAGAGAGAGAGAGAGAGAGAGAGAGAGAGAGAGAGAGTAAATACCACCTATGGTCCCTCGAGTTTGATGGCATCGCCATCAATGGTCCCTAACTTCCGTAATTACCATCCGTCATCCTCCGAGTTATGAAAAGTTACCTTCTAGCGTCCTTCCGTTACTTCCTCCCGTCTTAGCCGTCAAAATGGAGGGTAATATTGTCATTTGACTTATACAAAAAGAGTTAATACCAGCCAAGGTCCCTCGAGTTTGGTGGTTTGGCCATCTTTAGTCCCAAACTTGGCCAAACAATATTAAAGAAAGTTGGTGGTTTCTCAACTTCCAACTCGAACTTCCTCGTCTCCTATACAATATTAAAGAAAATTTACAAATGTATAGTATTCTCCTCTTCAATTTCTCTCAACGTCATTGCTTACATATTAGCATAATTCATATATATTCACACACAAAAAAATTTATTGAGTAAATTTCAATTTTGATCCTGTGACTATAAGGGTTCTGTTAATTGCAGTCCACGACTTTCAAAAGTGTTAATTTAGTACCTTGATTATGCAATTTTTATCAATTTTGGTCACTCCGGTCAAATTGCCAATCAAATTTCGCCAGAAAATTTTAATTGGTCAAATAATAGGGGTATTTTAGTAATTTTATATCTCTTTTCTTTCTTGTTCTCGGAGAAGGCCGTGCGTTAACAGTGATTGCGATGAATGCGGCGTTTATCCCCCCAGTACCAATCTTTGTGTTCCGGTGATCGGAAAATCTGTAAACCCTGTGACATTCCATCTTCATTCCCACCATCTTCACCCCCGCGAGAGCCGCCGCTGTCTCCGCCACATTCCAAATGGCTTAGGAGGGGTTTATTAGTGTTCGCAATTGTCGGTTCAGTTGGGGCATTTGCAGGAATCTGCACGGTTCTTTACTACATATGGACATGTGTTTGTGCCAACTCCACCATGTCATCTCTTCCCCTCGTTGAATTCACAATTAACACTGAAACAGTATGCACAACCTTTTCATAATGGGTAGAGGGCAGGGGAACATATTGTCGCTGACGGCGGGATTCACGGACTGGAGGCCATCAGAGATTTTTAATATCGTTTTCGGACAAGAGAGGGTCATTGGACTCAAGCAGAAAATGGCGACTTGGAGCTTGGATTGAGTTGGGGTTGGTGAATGGTGGCCACTGTTCCATCATTACACTCCGATGTCCGCAATTTTTTCCGGTCATTTTTGGTTGGTCTATGGCTCAAGATTTTGGGTGTTTGCAAAGTTGGTACGTGGTCTCAGTCTCCGGTGGTGTTTGTTTTGTTGATGGCTTGAATAATTGAATGGGTTTGTTGAAATCAAGAACTCTGGTGTCATGGTGTGGTAATTCTTGGTGGGCTTGTGGCGGTTTTTTGTTTGGTGTTTTTTCTGGCGTATGGGATTCCTCCGGCGTGTGCCAGCTGCTTCTCTCCGTCTGCGTCCGTCGCTACTGGCTCTCTGACGAATCCATGTAGATTCTCCGAGAAGAAGGAAGAAAAGAGATATAAAATTACTAAAATATCCCCATTATATAACCAATTAAAAATTTCAGGCGAAATTTGATCGGTAATTTGGCCGTACCAAAATTGATAAAAATTGCATAGTCAAGGTATTAAATTAACAGTTTTGAAAGTCGTAGACCGCAATTAACAAGACTCCTATAGTCACAGGACCAAAATTGAGCACCCAAAATTGGGACTAAAGATGGCCAAACCACCAAACTCGAGGGACCTTGGCTGGTACTAACTCTTTTCGTATAAGTCAAATGACAATATTACCCTCCATTTTGACGGTTGAGACGGGAGGAAGTAACGGAAGGACGCTAGATGGTAACTTTTCACAACTCGGGGGATGACGGATGGTAATTACGGAAGTTAGGGACCATTGATAGCGATGTCACCAAACTCGAGGGACCATAGGTGGTATTTACTCTATATATATATATATATATATATATATATATATATATATATATATATATATATATATATATATATATATATATATATATATATATATATATATATATATATATATATATATATATATATATATATATATATATATATATATATATATATATATATATATATATATATATATATATATATAGGGTGCCATTCTAATGCAAACACTCTTAAAATACAAACGTGTGGACAAGAACTAGCCATAGGATGCAATAAGATGAACGGATGAGATGTAGCCTATTATGGGAGACGCTGACTTCTAATTATTATTAATAAGGGTAATATTGACAATGCACACACACCCCCTACTGTGAAACGACTCCTAACCCGTATGGCACCCTATAATTAAGGAATTCAAATACTACAAGGAATGCAATAGTCAATCAGCAGCGACAAAACACCCCCCCCCCCCCCCCCACCGGAACCAATCCCATGTGCACCCATCGACGTGAGAAACAGACTCCATGGACGCGCGAGGAAACACCATGGCCGACGAAGACCAACGAAATTATGATGCCAACTTGGACTCCATGGATGACGCCAATCCAGGTAAGTACACCATATAGTTGAACCCCTATTACTGTGCATATCGATCCAACCGTGAAAAAACCAACTGAATGCACTGGAATAAAACTTTGGGAGTCACAAATCGTAAATAATTTAACCCTGTATGTACTCGTAGTAGATGTGATGGAATTGCATCAATAATTTAACCATGTATGTACTAGAAATCATGGACTGATTACAGGAAGGGTGATGGAAGGGAATGTAGCGTTGAGTTCATAGAGTGCACCCGTTATTAGTCTCAAATGCACACAACGTACCGAAGTTTGAACATGCATGCACCCACAGATTCTATCATTTATATTATACTCAATTCTAACAGCGCTACTAGTGCCAAAAATTGCTACTAATATTTACGGAACACACCTTTGATTTATAGGCAAAGAGCATACTGAAGAAGAAGCAACGGATTGCGAAATGATCATATTACCCGATGGAACGAAACGGTGGTTACCCACCTGCAAAAGTGAATGCACCCCGTATGAAGGGCAACAATTTGCAACACTAGAAGACGGACTAGCCTTCTACCGGGCATACGCAATTACTGTCGATTTTGATATTAGAAAAGGAACGATGCGCATGAATAGGGAAGGGAAAGTACACATAAAATACATGTTATGCTCACGGGAAGGATTCAAGCCCCCCAAGAAGGGCAATACCACAGCCACCGACATGGTAAACACCACACAACCAAAGAAAAGAAAGCGGGTGTCAAAAAGAGTTGGTTGTAAGGCCCGAATTGTGATAACAAGGTGTAAGACCGGCAATTACACGGTCCATGCAGTGGAGTTATGGCACACACACTACCTATGCTCAGACATTGGGAGACCCTTCTTGAAAATAAATAGGAAGCTGGATATTGGACACAAAATATTCCTAGCAAACTGTGCAAGGGCAAACATTGGTTCTACCAAATCTTGGAGACTATACAAAGAAATGGTAGGAAGTTTTACTGATATAGGGGCAACATCCACGGATTTCTGCAACTTCAGAAGGGATTTGTTGGCGTATATTGCTGGAGCAGATGCACAAATGGTGGTAGAAGACATGTACAAAAATAAAGAGGCCAACCCAGACTTCTACTTCGATTTTGATCTAAACGAAGATAGACAACTATGCAGGTTGTTTTGGGCTGACGCAATATCACGGAAGAATTTTGCATGTTTTGGCGACGTGATGTCATTCGACGCTACGTACAGCACGAACAGGTACATATGACTCCAATTAAATTGTTATCCAGTACGTGTTAGTACTCAAACACACATGCATGCACAACTGCTAAACATTGTATGCACAATATAAACCACGAGATCCAATCACCAGCCCTGGTAATTGAACCGATCGAATCAATGCTTAATTACACTGTGATGTTTTATGTGCACCCCTGTGTATTCGTGAGTGCACAACAGCATGCATGCAGTTTTACTTTTATATGTCTGCCGGGCGAGCCAAAAAAAAAAATGAGGCCTGTCTTACTAAATATTATATGTCTATGCACTAACTGAGAAACAATACACACCATGCAGATACAAACTTGTATTTGTACCGTTCACAGGCGTGGACAACCATAAACGAAGCATTACATTTGGAGCAGGCCTCATTGCAAGAGAAGATGTGGAGTCGTATGAGTGGTTATTAAAAAGCTTCAAAGCCGCGATGGGGTATACACCAAGATGTACTATTACAGATCAAGATCCAGCACTAAAAGTCGCAATACCCAACATTATGCCAAAAACGAGACACCGGTTCTGTATGTGGCACATCATGTCAAAAGTCGGGGACAAGGCAGGACCTGCACTGGCAAAGAACATCGAGTTTAAAAAGGCCCTAAACAATGCAGTATGGGATGAAACCTTAAGTGCCACCGAATTTGAATTGAAATGGGCAAAGGTAATGCAAGATTACAACCTTGTTGAGCACAGGTGGTTTAACCAACTGTACGAGGCACATGCATCATGGATACCCGCATATTTCCAAGATATATTCATGGGAGGACTACTCAAAACAACATCACGTTCAGAATCGGAGAACAGTTATTTCGGAAAATTCACCAATCACCACTGCAGCCTAGTCGAGTTTATAATGCAATACAACCGCGCCATAGAAGAACAGAGGCATAACCAGGCAAAGTTGAACGCAGACTGTGAAGGTTCAACCCCTGAACCGAAAACCCCGTTGGGCATGGAACGCCAAGCAGCGGCATTGTACACCATCAACATATTCTACGAGTTCCAAAAAGAAATATGGGCCGGAAGTTTCACATGCAAAATCACAAACAAGACACTTGAGGCCGGGAACCGGAAGTACGTTGTACACGAAACAGGTGCGAAATTGTACGAGGTAACACACGAAGAAGCTACCCACAAAACAGAATGCAGTTGCAACAAATTCAACAGAGTAGGAATCTTATGTAAGCATGTGTTGGCAATTTTCAAGGACGAAGGCATCGAAGAAATACCAGCACACTATATTGTTCCCCGATGGACAAGAGACGCATGTGCACGGCCAATGTATGACATTGTGTTGAAAGGCAGCCCTAATACGCAAGGGGGGACCGAACTCAAATCAATTGCGAACCAACTCTGGAATGAATTCTACAACTGCTTGGGATTGGCTAATGGAAGTGAAAATGAAATGTCTCTAATGTTGACAACAATGCAGCAGCTAAACGGGAAGTTAAAGAGTGCTAAGCAACAAGCCAACCCAAGCACCAGCCACCAATCAGTGATTGAATCAATAGTCAACGCTACTGCACCTACCGAGATCCAAATCAAGCCACCCAATGTTGCAAAAAACAATGGCAGCGGGAAACGATTAAAGAGCAATAAAGAGAAAGCAATGGAAAGAACGAAGAAAAAGGTGAGGACATGTGCTACTTGTGACCAACCGGGCCACGACAGCCAAAATTGTCCAGAAAGAAAACCCATACCAGACGAGTAGCCTCCAGTGGTTTAAAATACTACGAATTCTAGCACAATTTAAAGTTGAATTAGATACTTGTCAAATATTAGAATATTATCCATCACTAGTTCGTTTGTTCAGCTATGCACACTAACTACCATCAATGTCCAAACAGTTTTTATTTCTAAGCCTACAGTGTAATAGTTAACTACTTGATTGCTCAACTATGCACACTGTGTACCATCACCGTGTACACACAGTTTTACTGCTACGCCTACGCGCTAATAGTAAACTAGTTAATATCTTCTGCGCACCCGGTCCACCATCATTGTGCACCCATAGGCTTTATTACTACGCCTATGAGTTAACAGCCAAATACTCACCACAGTGAAATCTATTACATTCATACCCATCTTTGCCACCTTCAGTTGCGACTGCACAATATTTAACCCCAAGGTGCACCCACAGATTTAACAATAACCGTATATACTTAAATTCAACTGGACCGTTTTTAATTTCACCCATGAAAACCAATGTACTGCGAACAGACATGCACACTTCGAACCGCCAGCTCACACACACGCTTCCAATTAGAAAACCATACAAGCTAATAGAAAACTATTTAGGTGAGTTTAATTTCATACCATTTTCACACAAGGCTTTATAATTAGATAGCTGTGCACTACGCCTACACGTTAATAGTTAACTAGTTAATTTCTTCCACTATGCACCCGGTCTCCAACCACTGTGCACCCCCCCTTCTATTAGTAAGCCAGTTAACAGCGAAACACTCACTACGGAGAAATTTATTAAACTCACAACACATTTTTGACATGTAATCCGTTGCGACCGCACACTAATTAACGCCAAGGTGCACCCACATATTTATCAATAACCGTATACAATTAAATTTAAATGGGCCCACGAAACCCAATGTATACAATTAAATTTAAATGGACCGACGAAACCCAATGTATTACGAACAGATATGCCCACTTAGAACCGCCCTTGCGCACACATACTTTCAATTAGTAAACCCTATAAGCTAATAGTAAACTACCCGGTTGAGTTTAATTGTATCCCATTTTTTTTACCCATGCCTTGATAATTATATAGTTGCACACGCACATTAGATAATATAGACCTACTGCCTTCTGTGTACTTTGGATGAATAGAGAACCAGACATACTTCATTAACCTATGCACCCCAAGTTAAAACACTGTGCATCCAAACACACACAGCGCTGCAACCCAACAACAAATGAGATACCAAAATTTAATTAAACAAGAAGCAATTAATAACATAATTTTGACACTAATAAACAAACAACCAACTGCAAATAAACAAACTTCATGAGGTTACACAGGTGCAGCCCTTACTTAGCAAAAAGAATGAGAACCCAACAAACTAAATACCGGCTTAATCCCCCATGCACAGTAACAATGGTAGCTACATAAAAATCCCAAAAAGGTACGCATACCATGGCAAAAACTACGAACTAACATCAATTAAACCAAAGACACCAAAGACACGGTCCTACGGGATCAATGACACAAACTTATACGCCCGAACAACATTCACAGCCTTTAGTAAATTGAACTCTGATGTGGCGATTTCCTTCATGTAGCGTAACCTTAACTTCTTGAGCTGACCAACGTTACCTTTGCTAAGCCCACACCTCCATCTGGCCACTCCCTGCCCCATATAAGACTCCATATGACGCATGACATAGACCCCGCAGTCAACCATATTCTTCCCATCCCGCCAACTCATCTGCATACGCTTTGGCTCCAAACACGCACACATCGAAGACCTCCCCGGATGAATAGTGCTAAAGAATTCCATTAGCATCCCCAGCTGTAAAACACCCCCAGATTGCAGACATAAAAAAAACTAAAAAGCGCAACGAGGTAAAAACGTACCAAACTGTGCAAAATATTTAACATACCAAATCCTCTGGGCAATCCCCATATTTTAGCTTCGTATTAGGCTGAAGAGTCGAATTGTCAATTATCTCACACCGGAATTTTTGAAAATCAACGCATATAAGGAAGTAATGTTTCTGACGTAGAATGGGGAACATAAACTGCAAAAAAACACCGACGCACCACCTTAAAACCAGAATGACGGACACAACACTCAGACCCTATGCACACAGAATATGATGGACAGGTAGTCTAGAAGCCATGAACAACAAAAGAATTCATACCAAATCAACTTCAGAAATGTAACGATATGGCGATGCCTGAAACTCCTCGTGCAACCTATCCTTGAACAACGCAAACCGCTTATCCCGATCAAGGGATGTATCCACGACAGTATGAAGCTTCAAAAGGAGTAAAATCAGCACAACAAAAAAAAAAATAAACATGTCAAACTATCATACCACAAAAAGATGCAATTACAAACCGTGGAAAGAGTGGAGGCAAAAAAACGAGAAGGGGCATTCGGTTCCTTATACCGCTCCCGACAATTTAACAGACAAGCACATGCGTCTACAACACCAACCTCTACCAAAGATCCGGGTGCCAAAGACATCAAGTCCGCCCACCGCGCCACACTACCACCCACATCAACCAAAATCTCCTCCCTACAGAAAATTAATAAAAAAAAAAAAAACACACCAATCAAACACACATAACCAACACAATATGTCTATTAACAAATGGTTCTCGAAACTAACATATCCCCCCCAGCTGCACACAACAACCAGTTGCAAATAACCGACTCCTCTGGATTGTCTAAAGGTGGCAACCCAAGATCCAGATTTGACAACTGCAAAGGCAAAGCATCCGGCGGGATAGTAACACCCCTAGACCGTTTGACAGGGGCTTGACAAACACACCCGTTAGACCGACACCGGCTAGGCTCACCCCCACAAACAGATGGCTGCACAGAAAGAAGTGTGAGCATTAACAACCAAGTCCTGAATTTAAATTACAACATGCCGCTTACCTAAACTACGCACCCATAAGTGCAAGCAAGTGCAAACATTTATACACCCCCCCCCCCCCCCCCCGCACACACACATAAAAGCTAAATCCATCAAACCAACTATGAGTATATAGCTAAACATGAGAAGTGACAACACCAACACCCAAGTCTTGAATTCAAACTACAAAGTGCCACCTACTTAAACTGAGCACACAAAAATTCCAACGAGTGCATCTATTTATACGCATCAACGCACGCATCAAAAACATTACTACATAACAAACCACACAAATAAATACAGCAAACACATCCATTAATTCGCAAGCATGTCAACACCTACTATAACCAAATAACAAAGAACCTGCATTTTGGAGAAAAAAAAAACCCAATGAAAAGAATGCACACATCAAATCCGTCCTTGTATACCAATTTAAATCTCATTCCTCTATACACAAACATACCAAACCATGCTCAATCGGCGTAGATAACGGAGCATCAACATGCGCAGGTAACTTTGAACCCCCCGGGCAAGCACCCTGAGCCCCAATATCACACACAATGGAATCACCAGCACCATGCTCTTGGAGCAGACCACCCTAGCAAATAGGAATAGAGTGAAAAAAAATAATGAGTTATAACCCAACAAAACCAAAACCAGTGTGAACGCACACAAGTAACCCAACAAAACTGACCTCAACACCAGAAAAAGGATGACCAGTATTGGCCGGAGTTAAACCACAAACCACATCCCCAATATCAGCCCCCCCACGATCAGGAAAATCTTGCGTAATACCTAGACTAAACGATGGAATATCATAAAAAACAACGGGCTGCTCATCAGAACGCGCCTCTCCAACAGCCTTTACAACTTCAAACACCTGTCGAAGCAACTCGCCATCAAAAGCACCAACAGGACCCTGCTTTGCCAACTCTAAAATATCTCTTGAAAACAACCTTGATCTTTCTAATACAACATCTGCGAATGTCTAACCCAACAAAAAAAGATGACACATTAAATAAAACCCACCCATAAAGACACACACAAACACCACTTGCCCGTGTGCACCCCTAGACCATAAACATAAATGAATGCCTACCAACAAACCCCATACCTTTGGCCCATAATCAACTGCATCTGCAGACGGATTGACCATGGGGGGCTCAATCATACCAAGGCCAAACCCGCCACCTCGAATCTCGGAAAATTCCCGTTCATGAAGTAAACGTGAAGACCAACCACGCAGACCAGGAATACCCCGGGGGACAGAGCGCGCACCATGCACAACACGATCCACATACAACAACTGCAAAAAGAACCAAAAATAGTGACAAAATTAATTGTACCGACATAGTGGGAAAGAACAAAACAGAAATCACCAAATAGAAAAAATTACACAAAGAATACCGTAACAAACTCAGCCGGCCCAATAAAGAACTTATGCCGACCCGAACGCCAAGCAGACTGCGTCTCAACCAACGTGTCGACCACCAGCTTGCACCAATTTAAGTCAGGCACGCTAGACACATCATCAAAATGATGCCAATACATCTGGTTTGCATAACCGCTACACTTACAAGAAACCAATGTGGAGAGCACCAACATAAGAAAATTGCGCTTAAACCAGACGCCACCATCCACCGCACCAACCATCCTAACACTAATCTCCGAAGGGGTAACCCTGTACCTGGACTTCTCGAATAACCCCCTCCAGTGTTTCAAAGTGTTGCTGATCTTACGTCTATCCCGCTGAACCATATCAATATGACCACGCGGAAACCCCAAAATCAACTCCACATCACTCTCATCTACCCCCAACGATCTCCCACCCCCAAGATCAAACGACTTCGATTGGCTATCAAAATTATACAGCAGCCACCGCAGAAGCCACGGAGGAAGATCCTCAACCTGAAAGTCTAACAACGCCCCAAACCCGAGCTCCCGAATGTCAGACTTCTGCTGAAAGCTCAAGTCTTTCAGGGCATTAACCAATACCACCGACTGCGCCCTCATCTTCACTGTAGGATACAAATCATCCTCCTCAGGGGTGAGTTCACAATCAGGGGCGTTTTCCTGTGACAGCTCTACCGGAATCCTCGGGAGGACTGGCCTAAGCGGCGACACAAAGTCACTATCATCCTCAGATATCCCTGAAGGACCCGCATCTGACTGAGCACGCTTAGAATTTTTAGCTGCACAAAAAAAAACACGCACAAGCACGTGAAGTAACATTTAAACAACACTATGCACGCATAAAGCATAGCAAACGCACCCATTTACCCACGAACATGCAAACAAAAACCCCACTACTTCCAACCACAACTTGCACCTAAC